TGTATATATATATATATATATATATATATATATATGTATATATGTTTGAAGGCTAATGAGTTAGCTTGAATTTGTGGGAGGAGTCCGCGCCCTTACCCTTCTTAAACCGCACCATCAGGATGGCTTGGGACAGGACGTTTCTGCATAAACCCTCCCACCCATCCCTTTGGGTATACAGTCAATCTTCACACTCACTCAGAGTATGCCCCCTTATTGGAATTACTGTTCACCCGGACCAAGGCACACCTCAGGTCAGTATCTTATTGTAAATCGTGTGGAGCGGACTCTTAACACAAATATATATATATTAGGGATGCACCGATACCGATACAAGCATCGGAATGTTCTCAGTATACAAGCAAGGAATGTTCTTAGTATATTTTCTTTACAAGTCAAATATAATACAGCATTATGACCACTATGTGGAGCTGAGAAGCATTGGAAATTAGTATTTATTCGCTATGCTCCTCAGCTCCATCTAGTGGCCATAATGCTGTATTACATTACTACATTTAAAATTACATTCAACTTCTAAATAATGCCACATTATGGCCACTAGATAAATAAATGCTAATTTCCTATGCTCCTCAGTTCCATCTAGTAGTCATAATGCTGTATTACATTATTACATTTCAAATTACATTAGACTTGTAAATAAAATATATTATTATATGTATTTATATAGCGCCAACATTTACGCAGTGCTTTACATTACGTTGCACATTCAAATCTGTCCCTACCCTCAAGGAGCTTACAATCTAAGGTCCTTATCTCACATGCATACATGCAGGGCCAATTTAGAAAGGAGCCAATTAACCTTCCAGCATGTCTTTGCAGTGTGAGAGGAAACCAGAGTACCTGGAGTAAACACACACAAGCACTGGGAGAACATGCAAACTCCTTGTAGATAGTGACCTTGTCGGGATTCGAACCAGGGGCCCCCAGTGCTACTAAGAACATGTGTTTTTGCATCGATTCATAAAGAAAAAACGTTCACAGAGATTTGCAGAGCTAATGGCTCTGTAAATTGTTTATGTTGGCAGCTATTCGGAGCTCCCAAATGCTGGTATCTGCTGAGATCAGTGGTTACCGTTCATTAATGGATGCCTCACTAACGAGCCATCCATTAATTAAAGTTTTAAGCATTTTCAGACACCCGATCGCTCTCAGTGATAATATTGGGATATTTCGTTATTTTGGAATTCGGGATTCGGATCCAAAATTCAATTTGGTTCGGGTTTCAGATTCGGACGAAATCCGAATTATCGTTAGTTTGGGATGAGTTTGCAAATTTTCGTTGCGAATATCACAGAAAACCATTTACAGATATTAATACTAAAGCTGAAGCTCCCAGACCCGAATGGCATTCAGGATACGAATTTCTGAACTGCATGCGGTAGCCTCAGCTTTAGTAATATATGTATATGGCTCCCAGACCCGAATGGCATTTGGAAATTCGGATCCTGAATGCCATTCGGGTCTGGGATCCTCAGCTTTAGTATTATATGTATATACTGTATATGGCTTCCATATTGCTGTAATTAAAATTCGTGTTCAGACCCATTTGGATGCATTAAACTGAAAAAGACATCTGATTCGCCTGAAAAATCACATGTCCGAATCAGTTTTGTTTTTGAACGAAATTCGGACGGGATCTGAAATTCGTAAACGGAAATTCGGATTCCGATGCATTGGGATTCGGAAATTCTGATGTGTCCGCATTTCGGAAAATTTGTCCGAATTTTGAAGTGGAAGGAAACTAATCGCACATGTCTATCTGGAACAGGTTAATCTGACTGCACTTGGGGGCCAGGAAGGACTTACATTCTTCATGTGTGGCAAAATTGGCCAAAGTCACCAGGAAGGATTTGATTTGCCTTCCTCTGGACTGAAACTGCAGGAGTTGGGAGCGGATGAGCTGGATGGGTATCAGTCTTCCTAATTATAACACTTTCATTAAAAAAAAGTAAATGCGATTGAGTTACACAGTTATAATAAATGATGGAGTACCTCCGAAACACAGATTGTGAGTTCCGGGTTGCTGGTATTCTTCATGTCCTGTAATCAGAAATAACATACATCAGAACCATACCCATCCCACAACATACTGTGGTCGAGGACATTTTATGAACAGGAAATAAGCAGCTTAAAAGGGATCGGGGACATGCCTACAGCTAGACGACCTGTGTGGCTCATGGCATAGTAAGAGAACGTGTTCCTTGTGAATCAGCAAAGAAAATTGTCCTAAATATTGATCCAAATTTTTTCTTTATATACAGAAATAGTGCAAGGAAATCGAACTATGGGAGGGGGAGGGCCAGCACCAATTACAATCTGCAGCATTGCCCAGTGCTGTCAGGCTCCCATCCTGAACCTGCTTCCAGGAAACAGATAGGAAGTGCTGCTGCTCCTTCAGTGTCCAATGAGCAGCCTGGTTTCATGTTGTAGGGGCTCTGCTGACTCTTTTCGTTGACTTGCTCCCTAATATCTGTCAGTGACCTACGTGCTTCTTACCTGGAGAGAGTTGCACATAGCGGGGTGAGCCTCATAGAGGGTATTGCTGTCGCTCTGGTTGTCTGGCAGAAGGTTTCTCCTCTCGGCCCGGGAAGAGGCGGTGGTGTGAGGGGTTCTAGGGAGGCTCTGTTTGTGTACAACATCTGTGCCATTGCCGAAGGCTTGTATTGCGTTTTCTAGAAGGTCAAGAGAAAAGTTTTAGCAAACCGGCTCATAACTAGAGGGAGTATAAAACATATAAGTGTATATTATTATTATTATCAAAAAAGAAGAACTCCAGAGCACAGCCAACAGTCAGACTGGAGAGCGACCATAAATCAGAAGGTGGATTGTGGCTCCACAGAGAATACTATGACCATCTGACCGCTCGAAAAAAGGAGCTTCTGGAGTTTTCCAACAAATATCTCATAACTCTGTGTTTTCTATCCTTTCTATTTTCTATATTATTATTATACAGCATTTAAATAGTGCCAACAATTTGTACAGCGGTTTATAAAATAAAGGTTCAAGCCGCTCAGTTCAGAAGGAGAAAAAACAGGGAACTCACCGCAAATCATTTTTCAAGGCCTCAAGGCCTACAACAATTGGTGATTGATTTCATTTATTTTTAGCCTTGACTAAGTTTTTTGATACATTGAAAACCAAGATTTGCCATAAGTGCCCTGGATTTTCTCTGTCCTTATTAAGTTGATTTTGTTACTTTAAATAGGAGCACCGGGACCCCACTGCTGGGGTTTCACAGAGGAATAAGTGTGGGATCTCCAAAGTAGACCTCTTCTATATGCACAGGCCTCCAGAAGCACTAATGGCGACTTGTACACATCTTTTGAGCTATATTGTTGGTAAAATACAATGCAAACCAAGAGGAGGGCCCTGCTCATGAGAGCTTACAATACACAAGGGAGGGGTAAGCAATACAAAAGGTAATAAATGATGGGATGAGTTGATGGTTGATGAAGTTCAGTTGTTAGGTGGAGGTGGGATAGCCCTCTCTGAAGAGGTGAGTTTGAGATTACCTAAAGGTGGATAGACTAGGAGATAGCCAGACCGGTTGTGGTAGGGTGTACCAGGGGATGGGAAAGGCTCTGGAAAAGTCCTGGAGGTGAGCATGGAAAGAGGTGATCAGGGCGCAAGAGAGCAGGAGATCTTTGGAGGAATGAAAAGGAAGGTTTCTTGAGACGTGGTTGGTGATGTAGCTCGGAGCTGTGGATGGGTTTCTATGTCAGTATTTTGTATTTTTTTCCTTGGACAATGGGAAGCCAGTGGAGGTATTGGCAGAGAGCTTTAATATCAGCTTTAATATTATATGTATATACTGTATATGGCTCCCATGTTGCCATAACGAAAATTCATGTTCAGACCCATTCGGATGCATTAAACAGAAAAACACATCTGATTGGCCAGAAAAGTCACATGCCCGATTCAGTTTTGTTTTTGAAGGAAATTCGGACGGGATCCGAAATTCGAAAACAGAAATTCGGATTCGGGCACATTCAGATGCATTGGGATTCGGAAATACAACAGATACTAAACGGTTGCTGAGCCGGATGAGTTCCTCATTTTACTTTTTTACCTGCAGGCTGCATACAAGTGATCTCGGCGACATCGCCTAGATCACTTGTACAAAATGAGCAGCAACTTCCTTGCTCTACATTTAGCCCTGATTGGGCTAAATGTTAGCAGGGCTAACTGGCGGAAAAAAAAATACCCGCTTGGGGCCTGGGACTGCATGTCCCGGGTCGGGCAATATAAATTCCACACCCCTGCTGCCCCTTTACTCCCTGCTGCCCCATGGCCGGGCCTTGGTGGCCTTGTGGGAAATACGGCCCTGGTTGCAATAGTCAAGGCAAGAGGTAAGAAGAGTGAATCAGTAGCTTGATGGTGTCATTGGCTAACACGGTCAACATCAAGTCAGTGGATTTTAATCTGATCTTGAAATATCAGTCAAAACTTTGCTAAATAAATCATCCCTATAAACATTTTAGAAGAGATCCATGGCAGAGCATGCGTTTCTCTGTCCACTCCCCTGTGTATGTTGTGCCTCCCGTGTACAGAGATTTATTTACCCGTCCATTTACCAGAAGGATCAATGTTACTTAGATCAGGATGAATGCATCTCAGGGGCTTATGGCTATAAGCTGTTAGTATTCTTTAATGCGTTGTCCATATACACCAGGCAGTTCAGGTTTAATGAATGCAATCAATGCCCGTCTCCTATCTACAATATTTATACATTAACTGTACCACATGTTTCTTTCATTTCAATACATTCTGTTTTTTGCATTCGTCTTTCTGATACTTTCTTCACACGGCCACCTACTTTTGGTTTTTAAACAGGAAAAATAAATTTAGTTTGTTATGCATTTATACGCAAAATGACGTGTATGGTTACATACATTTACAGGGCTTTAGATGCGTTCAGAGTATCTAATCTGCCCCTGGACACACAGATTTCTGCTTTTTCTGTATGCAATTATATTGAATGCACCTGAACGCAATTAGATACACAGTGTGCATTATACTAATTAAAATCATTACATGTGTCTACAGTACTTACATTTAGAAATGTCCTATGAATGCTTCTAAATGCATAAGTGCATGTATGTCATTGTCCACGTGATTGAGGGCTGAGTCACTATGAGCTAAACAAACTGAAACTCCTTTTTATAAGTCTGTGTCGTGTTCTGTTAACTGAATCCCATTCCTGTACCTTGAAGGAAAAATGGGGTAACCTCAAAGTAACATGGCTGTCAATTTATTAATTTTAATATACTGTATGTCCCAATATAAGCACTCACATAGAGAAGGATCACACTTGCAGTTCTTTAGTGTGGCTTGTGGCTTCCACGTATATCTGCCAGTGTATGCAACTGAGTTGTCGGTGTTTCTTAAAGGGCCAGTCACCCTAAAAATGTTATTTATGCTTTTTTGGTCTGCAACTGCTGGGGCTGTTATGGGGTTTTTTCCATTCTCCCTGCTTGATTTTGTGCTTGAGTCAGCAGTAGGTGTGCCACCCGTCTGGTTTTCACCAGGACAGTCCGTTTTTGGAGTCTTGTGTCCGGGTGTCAGTGGGCACCCAGACATAAGACACATAGCGCCAACACCGGCACTTAAAATTTTCTGACAGATGCAGCTGTGCGATCTCGGGCAGCCTCATCTGCCTGAAACCAGATCTTCCTCCGAGCTGCGGGCAGCCTCTGCCTGTTTACAGGTGCTCGACAGCTCAGAGTAAGACCCGGGTTTCAGGCAGATGCGGCTGCCCGAGATTGCGCTTGCCGAGGACCTCGGCAGCCGCATCTGTGATTGCTCCTCCTTCTCCTCCTCTGGCTCCCTGACACCGTGCTGCCCGTCTGTGGACACCTGGTGAGTGAGACATCATAGCCCAGACAGCCACCTGAGAGTCACACAGCCCACCTGAGTGTCGCACAGCCCACCTGAAAATCACACAGCTCATCTGAGTGCTGCATAGCCCACCTGAGTGTCACAAGCCCACCTGAGAGTTTCTCAGTCCACCTGAGTGTCGCACAGCCCATCTGAGTGTCGCATAGCCCACCTGAGAGTCACATAGCCCACCTAAGTGTAACACAGCCCACCTGAGAGCCCCCACAGCCCATCTGGGAGACCGCACAGCCCATCTGAGAGACCACACAGGCCACCTGGAGACATCAGGGCGCCAACCCAGAACAACACAGAGTATGTAGTCATATTATTTTGTATTGCTGTATAATGTATTTCAGGGATTTGCAGTCTTCTATACCTGGTCTCCTTACTCCCTCCCCTGGCTGTCTCTTCTCGCTCTCTTTGGGTTTCATTTGAAGAAAAGGTGGCAACCCTAGTCAGTAGCAAGATTTCACGTCTTGATTATCCAAGACATACAAGAACCAGGAGCTGCCTTAGCATGTCATGTTCCACATAAGACTGAAATATCACTTTTGGGTGACCATAACTTTTGAAAAGTAAAATAACAGCACCCCTTGCTGGCTAACAGGGCTAAATATTCACCTCCTCATGTATTACTTGCCCCTCCCTTTTAGATTGTAAGCACTCACGGACAGGGCCCTCCTTACCATTTACATAGTTACATAGTTAGTCAGGCTGAAAAAAGATACTTGTCCATCGAGTTCAACATATAGAGATATGGAAAAAAAAAAAAAAAGCCTAAACAGAACGCTATGCCCACAATTACCCACTGTAGATCCAGAGGAAGGCAAAAAAACCCCCCCTATAAAGCACGGTTCAATTTGCTCCAACAGGGGAAAAAAGTTCCTCCCTGATCCCATAAGGCAATCGGATATTCCCTGAATCAACAATCTCTGATGCCTAATATACCTACTCAATATCCAGTAATATTCTGTGCATTTAGGAATACATCCAGGTTTTTTTTTAAACAATTAACCGAGCTAGCTAGAACTTTGTCTTGAATTGTATTGTGATTGTAATGTCTTCCTTACACTGTAAAGCGCTGCGCAAACTGTTGGTGCTATATAAATCCTGCATAGTAATAATAATATTGTATGGTGCAATTGCTAATCCATTAGTCGCAGGCCAAACAGGATTCTGCTTTTAAAGGAGAACTATGGGGTTAAGGCTTTCCCCCATAGTTCTCCTTAGGGTAACGGGAGGACACAAACTAGCGGGAGGGGGGAATCCAGCCCCTCCCCTGTCACGGCAGAGAGCTGTGACAGGATCGGGAGGTGAGCGAACGCCGGTATGTGTTCGCTCACCTCCCGATCTACTGAGCCGACCTGTGACAGTCTCATTGTCACAGGTCGGCTAGAACTATAAGGTGAGTGAAAAGCACACACCTCATAGTTCTCCTTTAAGCAGAATCATTAGTCATAGTCAAAGCATGATAAAATGCAACAAAAACCTGATCTTCTATGTTTAATTTTATCAATGATTGCAAAACATATGTTTACTGTGCTCGGTGTTACCCTATGAGCAGACCCACCTGAGCTTTGTTTTTCGCATTGGTCAATGGAAGTTAGTGGGAGCAGCAGATTGGCACACTTGGATCCACACCTCTGCATTTTACCATCAATGGAAGCTCCTCAAAAGGCATGTCATTCAATGGGCTATTGTGTTCTGATGGCGGGTGTGAAGCTGTCAGAATACCCAAACAGTAACTGCAGCTGAATGACTGAGGGATCCCAATGGGACCACACACTGCTCGAAATCCGACCAGTGTATGGCCAGCTTTGGACTACCAGATCTCCATATACTGTAAGAAGCAAGGATGTTAACTCCCCTCATCCTCTTTAAAATAAAACTTTCACAAGGTCCTTCTTTCATATTCAAAGTTAAAAATTGGTCTTCTACAAGTCCTCCAAGTTTCTTGACCTCATCTTAGTCCCACACATAATAAGACTACATGGTCTACTCACGCAGACAGTGGTTCTGAGTGAACTCTTTCAGGTATAGTTCACACTGAGTCTCCTGATCTCCACTACCCTTACAAGAACACCAGGGCCCAATGGAAAGTAGATGGGGGTCCGAGTCCAGGAAGTTCAGGGCTACGTCATACCCTGCAGGAAAAGGAACAGAGATGTATTTTGAGCTTTGAAGGTTAAGGATGGCAATACTGTACTGTGCATAATTATTATTAGAACAGGTTCAGCCGCACTACGCAGGTGACTTACCGATCAGCCCTGCATAGGCACCCAGACAGGCCGAGTAGTTATCACGCACGCAACCACTTGCAGTTTGAGTGGAGCTCTTACAGTTAGTAACAAAGTCCGCCAGCCGAGACCTGTAAGTAGAGCAGTACAAGCTGAAAACTCATGAAGGGATAGTATATGCAGGTAAAAAAAACAAAGTTCAGTCTACTTTTTTGGCATTCAAATGTTTTGTTAGCTTTAAATAAAACTGTCAGGTTTATATTGGTAAAAAAAAGTGAAAAAAGAGACCACTGGAATATCCATTGCACTTACAAAAACATTAGGTATAGGGGCCATATCAAAATATCCCATGTGTCAGTGAACCTTTCCTCTATCATATCAGCTCAACACTTGGGAGGCTGACAATGAGTAGAGCTCTCAGGAGACCATCCCACAGGGCTGAATGACATGAGATGGGATGTCCTGATGATATCCACTTCTTCAAATGTTGAGAGGGGCATGGCATTCTAGAAGTCATTCAGCCCTACCTGATGGTCTCCCGGGAGCTGCCCTTATTGCCCACTTTCAACAGCTCTAGCTGATATTGTAGAGAAGAGTTCACTGATACCTGGGATATTGTCATAAACATCTTAGAATATAAGTATTTTATGGGCTGGTTCTTAATCCACAGATATCCACCAACTCACCAACTGGGGGACCTCGGCTAAACCCTTGAGGTATTGGAGGACCAAAAGATTGGATCAGCTGGATAATCAGGTGTAGTAATATCATTTTTATGTAAAGTCAATACCCAACACGTTTCATGGGTTACACATAGCCCCCCTGTTAAGGGCTAACAAGTAAAGAACAGAACAAAATGGTGTACCATCATCAGGATAAATCCCGAAAAACAGAATCACTAATGCAAAACAGTTCTATGAATTAAATCATTTAAAAGTGGAATCATAAAAATGTATGGGTCACGAGGGGGGTATCAAAAAAGTAATGCCTTTTGTTTCATATCTGCTGTTCATGTGAACCAATAATGAAATGGCTGATACCTGTCATACATATGGTCTTACTTAGTCATTGTGTGCTTCTGTTCTTTAAATTGTTTCAAGTGAATCATGGATGAGAGGTTGACAGAAAGAGCAGTAATTGAGTTTGTGACAAAAGAGGGTTGTTCAGCTGTTGAGATCCATACATGCCTGAACAATGTGTATGGTGATGCAGTAATTGACATGAGCAATGTTAGGCTTTGGATAAAGAAGTTTAAAGAGAGAGAAACTGAAATTGTTGACAAGGCGTTGAATAATGCCGATCAAGCTTTCCTCGAGTAGAATTTTTCCAGGCTGGATTGGGGCCTGGATAAAATGATGGCACAAATGCACCCAACATGATTGAGACAATGTGGAAGGGTCACTCTGAATAGAGGAATTTATAGACTAACCGAATGTATATTCATTGTTTCCATCTCTGTATAATTAAAGGAGAATTATGGGGAGAGTGAAATACATTCATGCCCATAGTTAGAGCCGACGTGTGACACTGAAGCTGCCAAGGGTCAGCACTATTCATCAAGTACTGATCACATACCAATGATCGCTCAGTTCCTAATCTTCTCCCTACAGAGAGCGGTGACTGCCAGTCATGGCTCCTTGCAGGGATTTCCCCCTCCCCTCTCTGTTCCTCCAGTGCTGACTGAAGGGATGGATGAGGGAGGAGGCGGGCACAGCTGGCTCTGCCTCCAGAGCTAACCTGCAGAGCCAGCTGTCAACCAGGCAGTAAGCTATATACTGAGTTTTGGGTCACAGAAGGACATTAGTAAACGTCCTCCTGTGAGCCTAAAGAGAACTATGGCCAAAAAAGGGTGGGCCATAGTTCTCTGTTAAACATTCTATATCTTAACCGGCATTACTTTTTGGTAAGGGGTAGGCACCACACTGGCAAGAAAATGCCAGGGTGCACATCCACAAAAATATCTATACAAATCCAAATCAGATATATATATATATATAGATATATAGATATATACACTGAGTGTCCAGATTATTATTATTATTATGACCACCCCATCAGTACTTTGTTGGGCCACGAGATGACTCCATGAGATGACTTCGTTGGGCCACCTCGTGACTCCAAGAGGTGTTGAAAGGTGATGCGAGGAATCTGACACGGCACTGTTGCCCTTCTGTTGTCTTGTACTAGTCTTGCCACTCTCCGTTCTGCCCTAACATTGACTAGTCGCTGACGGCCACAATTCGCAGGTTCAGACCCAGATTTTCGACTGACAGTCCGGTCTTTAAACACTTTAACAACAGCTGCTCTTGAACATTTAAAGAATTCTGCTGTTTTGTTGATACTCGCTCCATAGCTCCGCGCCAACAATCATCCCACGTTCAAAGGCTGTTAAATCGCATTGTTTACCCGTATCTTCAGAAACAAATCACTTCTACTGTCGTGGTAAACAACCTGCTTCCCTATTTATAATGGTCTGGCCCTCTAGCAACTTCAGCGCGGAATTATAGCTAATTATAGCTAATTTGCCTACAAACGTCAGGTGGTCATAATAAACTGGCCACTCAGTGTATATGAGAGATGGTACGCCTGATGGCGTGTTACCTGCACACCGGGTCCTGTCTGCAGTTGCTCCAAATTTCCAAACAGTTAGGCAGTGCAGGGTGATTGAAGGAACAGCTTGGCACTGTGGTCTGACGCCTCCTCTCAGCGCATGGCTTATCTTTGCAGGGGCAGAAGAGGAGCGGGTAGGTCAGGTTTGAAGGAATTCGCTCCAGGAAGGTGCGGAGGGTCTTGTGACACTTGCGTCGGTTGCACTGCTCATCAATCGATGGGTTACAGACTGATATGAAGGCGGAACGGAGCTTCTTGCAGGAATCGTTCACATTGCAGAACTTGGCTGCATCTAGACAGGCATTCTGTCTGGACATGGACGACTCTGTGCCTGTAGGTAACAAGGAAGATTGTCATTTAAAAGGATACATCCTTCATTACAACGAGACATTGTGACTTTCAATTCCATCAAACAAGAAAGCAGTGTGGCCTTAACTGAATGTAAATATTCATTTCAAGTAGAAGGTTCAAGTAGAGGGTTATACTATTTTTAAGGTACAACTCAATATTACTTTTACATTTTTTCACAGAAAGGCAGAGCCACTAAAGAATCAGTTTGGATATATGTTTAGTACTCATCTTGATCCCTAACTTCCAAACACAATATTGCTAAACACAACATTGCCTGAACCAAGTGGTAAAGTGACCCACATTATCATCCAACCACAGACACAAGAAGCTTTTTGCCAGTTCCCAAACCTCGCTCCTTTCACCAGTTCTCGTCCACCAAAGTCCACTTGCAACTGGGAAGCCAACACTTCCAAGAGTGTTGATCTCCAGGGTCCCCCACAGCTCTCCCTGGTGCGGTGCCCCCTGCTGACCTCCACATCACGACTGTGTCCTTCTTATGGAAGTCAGCAGGAGGAAATGGTGAGAGCCACGGCCGGCCCAGGAGAACGACATTCCCAGAAGGGTTGGTTTCCCCGGGGACTTTGAAGGACAAGAACGCGGGAGCATTGAGGTGTTTGGTAATGTAGTCATCAGGAAAGGTGACAATCTACAGTCTTATTTACAGGTAACAAGGGTACTTACTACTTATTTTATTCATGACGGGACCCCTCTAAATTCCTCTACAAATGATAGGATGTTTATGTACACTTCATTGAACTTCATCTGACTTCACACTTTGGTATTGCAGGATCATTATATGGACATTATATATAATAAGTTAAATGTATAGTTCGCCAACAGCAGTGAGTAAAACCTGAACATTTCTCACAGAGCACATTGAATACTTGTGTATGTATAGCCCAAACCTTTTTTTTTATTTTGGGTACAGCAGGTAAGGATTAGACACCCCTTCCAGATTATTGTTTGCTATCTGTCTACCATTGGGGACATTTCCCTTCACTTCCTGCCCCTGAGACACAAGAAGAAGTGAGAAGAGACCTCCCAAAGTGATGGGAATTCTTTTCATAGACGGTTGTCCCCAGAATAGGTGGAAGATTTCTCCTCACCCCTTGTGTTGGAGACAACTCTAAAATCTGGGGTTTCCCCTCACTTTTTTTTTTTGGAGATAATGTTCACGAGGACAAAAAGAGGGATAAATCTCAATGGGGACCCAGGCAGCAACATAAACTTAAAGCACTATTGAAGCCAAAACATTTTTTAGTTTTGGATAGAACGGAGAGGGACTAGAACACCTGTCAGGCTTTTATTGCTGTCTCTCTCCTCGTTAGAGAGATTCATCCTCTCTATTTGTCCTGGTGACCATTTTCACCAAAAGTGAAAGGAAATCTAACATTTTGGATCGTCACCAGAACAGGAAAAGATGGGAAATCTTCCAATGGGGACAATAGTTTTGGTGACCACCAGGGCTTTCCCCCTTTTTTGGAGGGATTTCCTCTCACTTTCTGTTTTGGGTATCCACTGTGGCAATGCCCAATGATTGAAGCCTATTGGTGGAAAGTTCTGTCAAAAGACAGCCGAACACCCCTAATAATTGTATAGGTTGCATGCATTTTGCAAAAAAGAAGCTCAAACACCATTGGTTAATGGCAACTAGTTACTTCATTTTTGTCCAATCATCAAACAGCATTACATAAGCCCATGTTCATTTGTGTCCACTAGATGGGTTCCCCAAGATAAGGTTGGCAAAGTGGGTATAGTGGTCCTTGGCAATGTTCCCCTGTTCATGTGTTTCTGGAAATTCCCCTTCATGACTCGTAAACACGTTTACAGCAAATGTATCCTTCCATAAGTACATTGCCTGAAATGGAGGTCTGTCTTAAGATGGCTGACATTCCTCCAAAATGGCGGGTGATCATGTGGTTCAGCAAGGATCATCAAATTTCCCTTCACATCAACCACCTTTATATCTACCAACAACTATGTAGTGCAAGGGCCTGCCTGATTGAATAGATTAGCCTCCATTCACAGCAGTTGCTCTCGTGAATGTGCACAAAATCATGTAATTTTATTTATCAATGGCACCCCAAAAGTGGCAAACATCGCCTGTTGGTGCTCACATTAATTCCTTGAAAACAGGCAAAAATGTGCAAAGTGCACAGCTCAAACTGAGCTTCTTTGCAGAATTGTTGCTTGTAGGGCAGCCATTGAAATGAATGCTGACATGTGACAAACGTGCCAAAACATGCCGTGTGTTCACGTGCACACCCAGTATGAATGGGGGCTTACTTGAAACTTGGTGAGCTCTGTGTGTTTCTTCTAGACCTGTGCAGTAATTCAGTGTGAGACTTGGAGTTTCCTGTAATAAAGACTGCTCACTGCAGCTCCCTCTCCTTGTGCAGGGAAACAGGTCTTGTCTCCGCCACTTCCTGTAATAAAGACTGGTCACTGTTGCTGTCTCTCCTTGTGCAGGGTGACTGGTCTTGTCTCCGGCCCTTCCTGTAATAAAGACCGCTCACTGCTGCTCCCTCTCCTTGTGCAGGGTGACTGGTCTTATCTCCGCCCCTTCCTGTAATAAAGACCGGTCACTACTGCTCTCTCTCCTTGTGCAGGGTAACTGTTTTTGTCTCCATACCCTCCTGTAGTTTTCTACAGGCAGCCTATATTGTATGGGGCCCGCTGGGCCCCTCCCACAAATCTGCTCTCGGCACACGCTATATACAGCACAGTGATGATGTCATAGCTACTTTAACAAGGTAATACGTGGGCATGCAAAGGCATTGCAGACAAAGTAGATTCATATTCCTTGTGGCTATTGAGTAAGATTTTGTGCCCGGAGTTCAGCTTGTTAGGTGGAGTTGTCCTTTAAGCCATTACTCCAGTTTCAGCAAAAACGATTTAATTGCAGGAGAGACCCAGAGGATCTGCTTTGCAGATAAAATCCTGTATGAAAAATGTTTATCTGTCTATACGGAATCCCTAGCGGAGCGCACATAGGATACCGTTCAATTCAAGTGACTGTAATAATGGAGGAGCAGAGTCCTGTAGTCAGCTAACTAACCCCCTGCTGTGTAGTCATCCATCTGCATTGACTTTTTAGTACAATTCTGGTCAGCCTAAACCTGCTCACGGCAGAGCAATGTAAGCGGCTTAAATAGCTACCTGGATATTGTATGAGTCCAACATTGGTCCGTCTAAAGCTTTCTACACACTGATTGTCCAATCTCTTTAGATTTACCACCAAACATGAATCACAAATGTCTACCTGGCTGGATGCAAATTGTATATATTTTTTAGGAAGACCCTTACAATTAGATTGTAATGTGTGTGGCTAGCTTTAGAAAGATGGCGGAAACTTCACTCATATTAGATTAACATGGACAGACCTGTAAGTGTCCCTAAATGCAGCAGGGAAAGATAGGGTCCCACGCGATGAACAGGGCTTTAAATGTTGGCAAGTCAGATGACTCACCCCGCTACCCCCTCGCTGCAAGGGTTAACTGCTCGTTTTTCTCTAGGGGTGAAAATAAAGAAGATTCACTCCCATGATCCTCTGTCCTATGGCAGTGACCGCTCACCTCTCTTCCCCTTCTCTCTGGCTGTGGTATGTCACTTGGTGTTTTCATATTAGACATGATGACATTCATCACGAGTCCTTAGGACGATGGAGCGCGGGGGAGAAGAAACCGGTCTAGCAACTAGGCGAGACTGAGGATCAGGTGAGTATATTTTCTTTCATTTCACCCCCTAGGCAAAATAAGACGTTAACCCTTGCAATGCGGGGGTAGCCCCAATTTTTCAGTGTTGAGTTCCGATTTAAAGGTCTTCAGTTCAGTTGAACAGTAAAGAAAAGATCTTCTGGCCATAGACTTGAGATATAGGTTCAGGGATGGATTCAGCTGCCCATTTGATGCCCATGTTTGCCATCATCAGTAGAAACACAGTCATCTCCTATAATCCTGTTTACAAGTTCTCTAGGCTTGGACCAGTACAACAATAAACTCTGAATAAAATAAGCAATCCTAGTTGGGAGGGGGTTCGTAGGTTGCTTTGGGCATCAAATGTTGTGTAGCACCGGTGATGGAAATCAGGGCATGAGGAGCTCAAAAGTAGATGAAAGATCCAACCATCCAAAACTATAGTTAGACAACAAAAAAGAATGGAGGTTCACATTATAAACTACCACCATGAACACCAACTAGCTTAATATGAAACAACAAATCTTCCTACAGAGAAAATAGGATCAAACAATTACTATTTGAATCTTCAAAAACACAGAAAGACAAATAAGGGTATGAAAAGAGCCCAAAACCAAATCCCTTTCAAACATAGAGATTGGAATGAAGCCAACAAATACACAGCCTTCCCAGTTTTACTATTGCCCCCCTTGGTAATGTTGGACATACAACAGCATATACTGATTGTATTACTGACTGGAGTGTGTCTTTTGAGTTGTAGATGGTGCTGTAGTGAAATGTTAGTCTCTATGTGCTTGCTTATACACAGGAAGTTTATTTTCTATATGTTTACTTCACAATGCTTTATTCTGACATAATGTTCTTCTAAGCAAGTAAAACTTAATTAAGCATTCCTCAAGATCTCAGTGCTTCATCTAAACTCCACACAAAACAATGATGTAGCAACAGGTATTGAAGGCACTCAAAGGACTTCTCTCGGTGAACAAGGTAGACACTATAATAGCTTTATTGCATCGATGATTCTGCGAGTCACAGGGCCTTGAGAAAGGTGGGTCTGACTCGCCAAAAATGTTGGTGCAGTAAAACTTCTATACTGTGTCCTCCTTGTTCACATATGGAAGCTGCTGTCCTCCTTGTTGACCTATGAAAGCTATTGTCCTCCTTGTTGACCTATGAAAGCTATTGTCCTCCTTGTTGACCTATGGAAGCTTCTGTCCTCCATGTTGACCTATGAAAGCTACTGTCCTTTTTGTTGTCCTATGAAAGCTACTGTCTTCCTTGTTGACCTATGGAAGCTTCTGTCCTCTATGTTGACCTATAAAAGCTACTGTCCTTCTTGTTGTCCTATGAAAGCTACTGTCTTCCTTGTTGAACTATGGAAGCTACTGTCCTCCATGTTGACCTATGAAAGCTACTGTCCTTCTTGTTGTCCTATGAAAGCTACTGTCTTCCTTGTTGACCTATGGAAGCTACTGTCTTCCTTGTTGACCTATGAAGGCTACTGTCCTTCTTGTTGTCCTATGAAAGCTACTGTTCTCCTTGTTTACCTATGAAAGCTACTGTCCTCCTTGTTGACCTATTGTGCTTCTTGTTGACCTATGAAAGCTATTGTCCTCCTTGTTCACCTATTGAAACCATTTAAGTGTGTCTACAATACCTGTTGCATATAAATATATATTTGGTATATATTTGGCTGCTTATCTGAAGTCCAACTTTATTATTGTTATTATTACTATTTAGAATCTAAAATTAAAATATCCTCTGACTTACATTATGGATGCCGTTTTTCTTTTTTTTAATACCATCATCATTTTTATATCAAATTAATATACAAAGTTGCTATTTGCTGCGGAAAAGTTGGAAAACCAACTGTGCAGAGGCTTATGCCTGGACTTGGCAGCGCTCCTTTCTGGACCACGCACAGCCGGTCTCTGGAGGAATTATTTGGCTTTTTACATTTCAGACACATTTTGCAATTCTGCTTTAAACAAACTTCTGCGTGTGTACATATGTTGTTTCGTTCTATTGCATTGTTCCTCGCCCTTGAGAATTTTCTGTTAAATATTTGAAACACAAACAAATACGAAGTTAGTACATTTGCTACCATCGAGTTTGAGCGAGTTACTCACCAGAGTTGATGGAAGCCACGCGGAAAATGTCAGACAAACGGGAGGTCACTGGTTCATACGGTGATGACTCATAAAACTCATCCCCTGAGAAGAAATTAAAGGATGTTACAGACTTAGACAACACTCGTAACTAGTATGGAATGGTGGTGCTCTGTACGGTGTGCCCTCCTCTCCCTATTCTGCAAGGCTAAATTGCAAACCACAACAGTAGTGCTAAGCTGTTAAGATGAGGAATATTTAAATGGCTTGTCTGCCCAAAGGTCATATTTTTGTTATAGGTCAATCTGGGTGGGCTGTCATTCACTGGCTGTATATATCTTGGATACATCAACATTGAGACCTTCCTGCCAAAATTTCCATCTCTGGTCCTATTCACCTAGGAGTATGGGGTGTTATTGGCCCCCTTTGTGTGTTCTAGCATCCCCATTTACATTATCTGTAGTATGAAATAAATACAAGTTTCAGCAGGAAGCATGGGACCCCTCTTAATGGCCATGGCAAGTGTGCAGATCCATAAACTCAGTCTCACCAGCAGAGTCCCGGGAGAAATAAGGAATTGTCAGGTGGTTTAATTCACCAGCTCTTAGCCTAAAATGAAATATCAGTTTTCAGTAGACTGACCTTTTATGTGTAACTAGCACGGGTGTTCTATGAAGCTGGTAGACACAAGAGAGAACTGAGAATCTTTGGTTTTGGAACCAAACAAAACCAACTAGCCCTTTTATTGTAGGGACAGATTTTGGGGGGCTAAACAAAGGGTACCATGGTGTTTCAATGATTGGTGGGCATGGTGTAAGGTTGGTAATTATAAAGTTCATGATTAATTGTGCTACACCTACCAGCAGCAGCTTCCTCTCAGCACTAGATCGCATGATATCTAAGAGCTGCAAAGAAAGTTAGTGCCGGGAGACCTTCCTACGTCAAACACTGTGATCGAAGGTCTGAACAAGTAGCAGGTGGCTATTTCTTGCCCAGCATGTGTCACTGATTTTGGGACAAGCTCTGATCAATGGTGAAGCCCCTATTAACACTTGAGCTTGAGCCCTTTCATGTAATTTTCAACCTTTTTTTTGCCTGTGTTTTAATACCTTTTTCAGGCATTTTTGATTTAGCCAAAGCTAGTTACCAGGAGGAGGAGATGGTCGTTAGAGTTACACACATTTTTCAGGTGCTCCTACTGAAGTCTATGGGGTCAAAAACACCCAATTTTGCCCGAATAAAGCTCATTTAATATTTTGAGCTACAAGCAACACATCTCTCAGGTGTGAATGGGCACCACTGAAAATTATGGCATTCATTGTTGCATTTTGGAAAACATGAAACAAAATGCTCAGGTGTGAATGGGGGCTGAATGTTGATGTATCTGCACTCAGGGCCACCATTCCCATATACTGTATCTTATCAGTACCGTTTCAGGGGCCAAATGCCCCCCAGACCAGACTTCTCCTGGGTAGAAAGATAACTACCGGAGGAAAAATGTATGTAATATGCTCTACCTTGTCTCAAGCTTCTCTTTATCTCTCTACTTTATTCTTTCCACTTGTACTACAAACAACTAACAACAAATCAACCGCTCCCAACTCTAGCTTATCCAAGCTTTATAGGGGAACCGGAAGAGATCAGCTATGACTGTACAGTATGTAGCATGGACTACTACAGTGATTTTCAGCATCCCCAGCAGCCCTTCAGAGATCAGAAATGGATACTTACATTGAACCAAGCTGTACCAATGTAAGTATCCATAAAAGATCATTCCTGGAGTTCCGCATCAAAACTTGTACTTTTCTTTCTCCTGGATAATAGGGCTCCTGCTGCTCTACATCTATCCCACTCCCCATGTGAGAGCTGAGGGTCTCATGGCCTGCAATGCTAGTGTGGTATTTGCGCCCCCCCCCCCCCCCCCCCTGCCCCTGTGGACAATCGCTGTTTTTTTGTGGT